AGCACTGCTGGCTCTGGCCAACACAGTGATGCTTTCGTTGCCATAACAGCCTCCATCCCCGTGGGAATGCAAGGCACAGCTTCCACCTGGGAACCATTCCCAGGAACCAACCAGCAGCGCGGGGATGTGGGGATCCACACCCTCCATCCCATCGCTGTCCCTGAGCCCCTCTTTCCAGGACCCCTCTCTGCGGGCTCCCTGTGTTGCCGTGGAAATGTTGGCTCCCTTTGCAGCAAGGCAGGCTTTCCTTAATTCCTTTTGCCTCGAGAAACGCTGAGATGCTGATGCGAAGCTCTCTACCTTTCTGGCCCGGATTGCTGCACAGCCACGCAATGCTCCACGTGCAGACAGCACCCAGCCCCCCACCAGAGCCCCCCCAGCCCTCCTGTGTGCACAGCCTGCCTGGCACGCCGTGGGTGTCACACTGGGTGTCACACAGTTGGTGTCACACTGTTGGTGTCACACTGTGGCCGTCACGCACAGCTCACAGAAGGCTCTCAAACACTGCAGCCCCATCCCCAGCGCTCAGGTTTGGCTGTTTTCCATTTCAGCCAATCCTAGGAGATGTATCCCAACCCGGCCCGACTTGCAGGATCCCTCAGCAAGGAATCCATTGCAGTGAGAGGGGGAGGGATGGGCGCTGCTGCCCGGCGCTGCCTGCACCGATCCCTGCCTGCTGCATTGGACCCACGGCGCTCACAGCCCTTTCCAGCCCAACCAGCGACGGGTCCACGATTCCAAACCTCCTCTGCACCACTGAATCATGCAGCTGCATTCATGTGAAATTGCCACGGGCTGCTTTCACAACCACAGCTGAACTCCTTACGGCACGGATCTCGCCTTGAACAAATCCCTCTCTGCTTTACGACCCGTCTCTGAGCTCAGACGCTGTTTCACACAACGGCTCCCCTTCAAAACAACCTGGAGCCGGACTGAGCCTCAAGCAGCCCCTTGCTCACAAGCATTTCAGACATCTGGAGCACGAGCAGCACGCACTGCTGCCCTCCCCATGCGCTCCCAGGCGCAGCACAGCACTCATCTCTGCTGCCGGCACGCCGCGATGCCGTCCATTCAACACCCACTCCTCCTTTCTGAGCTCATCTCCTCCGTTTGCTTTGCAGATTAATCACACGCACGCCGCAATACCGCCGGCTTTCTACAACTCTCAGCCCCGTCTCACGTGGGACCGCAGGCAGCAGCTGCTCTTACACAAACACAAACGCGAGGCGCAGAGGCGCCGTGCGTAAAACAAAGCGCGTTTTGCATGCGGCTCTTCGCCTTTGCCCGGGTTCCTCTCACATCCTGGCTGGGATTGCGCTGCTCTCCGCTGCGTTTCTAGGCAGAATTTACTTCCTATCTGCTCCCGGTGTGCATTAAAGGCACAATCAGTTCTGGCATCACCGCCGCATCCAAAGCCTCATGAGGGATGAGCAGCCAGCGCAGCTCCAGCCCCACGGACCAGCAGGGGAAACCCAGTAACACACAGCACAGAAAACCGGGCCGCTCCACTGCCATGGGGCCACCACCTCCCGTCCATCCTGCCATCAGCCTTGCCCATGGCGCCACCACCTCTTGTCTACAAGCACCACCACCTCTTATCCATAGTGCCACAGCATCACAGAACTGTAGGGGTTGGAAGAGACCTCTACAGCTCATGGAGTCCAACCCCCTGCCCAAGCACTTCCTGCACCAGGTCGCACAGGTCGGCATCCAGGCGAGACGTGAACAGGAGACAGGAGACCCCACAGCCCTGGCAGCCACGTCCCATTGGGGTCCCCACGTCTCATTGAGGTCCCCACGTCCCATTGGGGTCCCAGAGTGCCACTGAGGTCCCAGAGTGCCATTGAGGTCCCCATGTCCCCTTGGGATCCTCCATGTCCCATTGGGGTCCCCACGTCCCATTGAGGTCCCCACGTCCCATTGAGGTCCCCACGTCCCATTGGGGTCCCAGAGTGCCACTGAGGTCCCAGAGTGCCATTGAGGTCCCCATGTCCCCTTGGGATCCTCCATGTCCCATTGGGGTCCCCACGTCCCATTGAGGTCCCCACGTCCCATTGGGGTCCCAGAGTGCCATTGAGGTCCCAGAGTGCCAGTGAGGTCCCCATGTCCCCTTGGGATCCTCCATGTCCCATTGGGGTCCCCACGTCCCATTGGGGTTCCCATGTCCCATTGATGTCCCCACATGTCATTGAGGTCCCCATGTCTCATTGAGGTCCCCATGTCTCATTGGGGTCACAGCATCACAGAATCACAGGGGTCGCTGGGGACCCCCAGAGCTCATGGAGTCCAACCCCCTGCCCAAGCACTTCCTGCACCGGGTCGCACAGGTCAGCGTCCAGGCAAGACGTGAGCATCTGCACAGAAGGAGACCCCACAGCCCTGGCAGCCACGTCCCATTGGGGTCCCCACGTCTCATTGAGGTCCTCCATGTCCCATTGAGATCCTCAAGTGCCATTAGGGTCCCCATGTCCCATTGGGGTCCTCCATGTCCCACTGAGGTCCTCCATGTCCCATTAGGATCCTCCACATCCCATTGAGATCCCCATTTCCAATTAGGGTCCCCACATCCCATTGAGGTCCCCACGTCCCATTGGGATCCCCACATAGAGACACACTGAGAGCCATAGAGACACATTGGGACCCATAGAGACACACTGGGACCCATAGAGACACATTGGGACACATAGAGACACCTTGAGAGCCATAGAGAAACATTGGGACCCATAGAGACACATTGAGACCCATTGGGACCCATAGATAAATGTTGAGACCCATAGAGACACATTGGGACCCATACAGCAGATCGCACAGGTTGGCATCCAGGCAGGTCTCTGCCCCCCACACCTCAGATATTCACAGACCTGGATCAGGTCCCCTCCCAGCCTTCTTTCCTCCATGCTGAACAGCCCCAGTTCACTCAGCCTTTTCCCATAGCAGAGATGCTCCAGGCCCCTCACCATCTTTTGGCCCTCCGCTGGACTCTTCCCAAGAGCTCCCTGTCTGTTTTGTGCTGGGCAGCCCAGAACTGGACGCAGTGCTCCAGGTGAGGCCTCAGCAGGGCAGAGCAGAGGGGGAGGATCGCCTCCCTCCACCTGCTGGCCACGCTCTTTTTAATGCACCCCAGGATGCCGTTGGCCCTCTTGGCCACAAGGGCACACTGCTGGCTCATGGCAACCTGCCGTCCACCAGGACACCCAGGTCCCTCTGTGCAGAGCTCCCCTCCAGCAGCTCATCCCCCAGCCTGTATTGGTGCCACCACCTCTTATCCATGGTGCCACCACTCCTCCTCAAGGTGCCACCACCTCTTGCCCACTGTGCCTCCACCTCCTGTCCATCCTGCCATCATGCCTTGTTCATAGTGCCACCACTCCTCCTCTGTGGTGCCGCCACCTCTTATCCATGGTGCCACCACCTCTTGTCCATGGTGCCACCATTCCTCCTCCATGGTGCCACCACCTCTTGTCTGTAAGTGCTACGACCCCCTGTCCATCCTGCCACCAGCTCTTGTCCATTGTGCCACCACTCCTTGCCCACGGTGCCGCCACCCCCTGTCCATCCTGCCATCATGCCTTGTTCATAGTGCCACCATTCCTCCTCTATGGTGCCACCACTCCTCCTCTATGGTGCCACCACCTCTTATCCATGGTGCCACCACCTCTTATCCATGGTGCCACCATTCCTCCTCCATGGTGCCACCACTCCTTGTCCACTGTGCCTCCACCTCCTGTCCATCCGGCCATCATGCCTTGTTCATAGTGCCACCACTCCTCCTCTATGGTGCCACCACCTCTTCTCCATGGTGCCACCATTCCTCCTCCATGGTGCCACCATTCCTCCTCCATGGAGCCACCACCTCTTGTCTGTAAGTGCTACAACCCCCTGTCCATCCTGCCACCAGCTCTTGTCCATTGTGCCACCACTCCTTGCCCACGGTGCCTCCACCCCCTGTCCATCCTGCCATCATGCCTTGTTCATAGTGCCACCACTCCTCCTCTATGGTGCCACCACCTCTTCTCCATGGTGCCACCACCTCTTGTCCGTGGTCTCATCACATCCTGCCACCTCCTATCCGTGGTGTCATCACCTTTAGACTGTAAGTGCCACCACCCCCTGCCCATCCTGCCATCGTGCCTTGTCTACAAGTGCCACCACCTCTTGTCCATGTGCCACCATGCCTTGTCCATCCTATCCCCACCCCCTGTTCACAGGGCCACCAAGCTCTTGTCCACGGTGCCACCACCTCCCGTCTATAAGAGCCCCCCACCTCCTGCCCATCCTGCCATCGTGCCTTGGCCACAGTGCCACCATGGTGCCACCACTCCTTGTCTTTGGTACCACCACCTCCTGCCCATCCTGCCACCTCTGATCTATGGTGCCACCACCTCTTCTCCACGGTGCCACCACTCCTTGTCCACTGTGCCTCCACCTCCTGCCCATCCTGCCACCTCTTATCTATGGTGCCACCACCTCTTCTCCATGGTGCCACCACTCCTTGTCCACTGTGCCTCCACCTCCTGCCCATCCTGCCACCTCTGATCTATGGTGCCACCACCTCTTCTCCACGGTGCCACCACTCCTTGTCCACTGTGCCTCCACCTCTTGCCCATCCTGCCACCTCTGATCTATGGTGCCACCACCTCTTCTCCATGGTGCCACCACTCCTTGTCCTCTGTGCCTCCACCTCCTGCCCATCCTGCCACCTCTGATCTATGGTGCCACCACCTCTTCTCCATGGTGCCACCACTTCTCGCCCATCCTGCCACCTCTCCTCCGTGGCGCCACCACTCCTTGCCACCACCTCTTGTCTCTAAGTGCCACCACCCTCTGTCCATCCTGCCACCTTCCCTCGTCCATAAGTGACAACTCCTGCCCATTGTGCCACCACCTCTTGTCTCTAAGTGCCACCACTCCTTGCCCATCGTCCCACTGCCCCCAGTCCGTTCTTCTCCCACCCCTGCCCCCAATGCCACCTCCCCCTGCCCACCCCCCACCCCCCCTGCTGCACCCTGTGCTCTGCAGACTCTCCCCTTCACCCTTCCCTGCCACCACCGCAGCCCCAACGTCCTCAGGGCAGAACTCCGCAAACGATCCCATTTGGAGACCTTTATGGGATCCCATTTTGAGTCCTTTATGGGATCCCATTTTGAGTCCTTCATGGGGTCCCATTTTGAGTCCTTTATGGGGTCCCATTTTGAGACCTTCATGGGATCCCATTTTGAGTCCTTTATGGGGTCCCATTTTGAGTCCTTTATGGGATGCCATTTTGAGACCTTCATGGGATCCCATTTTGAGACCTTCATGGGGCCTCATTTTGAGTCCTTTATGGGGTCCCATTTTGAGACCTTCATGAGATCCCATTTTGAGTCCTTCATGGGGTCCCATTTTGAGTCCTTTATGGGATCCCATTTTGAGTCCTTTATGGGGTCCTATTTTGAGACCTTCATGAGATCCCATTTTGAGTCCTTCATGGGATCCCATTTTGAGTCCTTTATGGGGTCCTATTTTGAGACCTTCATGAGATCCCATTTTGAGTCCTTTATGGGGTCCCATTTGGAGACCTTTATGGGGTCCCATTTTGAGTCCTTTATGGGGTCCCATTTTGAGACCTTCATGGGGTCCCATTTTGAGACGTTTGTGGGATCCCATTTTGAGTCCTTCATGGGGTCCCATTTTGAGACCTTCATGGGATCCCATCTTGAGACCTTCATGGGATCCCATTTTGAGTCCTTTATGGGGTCCCATTTTGAGTCCTTTATGGGATCCCATTTTGAGTCCTTCATGGGGTCCCATTTTGAGTCCTTTATGGGATCCCA